CAACATGTTGACAAAAGCAGAGCTAGTAACTGAACAGGTGAAGATTACGCAGAAACATGTTATTAAAGCACTGAAGCATAGGGATGAATACTTCTGCACTCTTTGCCAATCTTTCCTCCTTGAAAATCATTTTCTAAAATGGATTATTTGGACATTTTGAGCGACATCATGAGTTCTAAGTGGAGGAAAAGAAAGCATAAATGTGCTCAAGACAGCTGATGTAGCATAAACTTCCATCGCATCCAGATAAGTGAGATGAAGAAAAAAAAAAACAAACTGAAGGAGCCAGAAGTAATATTGTATTAAGCTGATTTCTGATGAGTGGCAAACATTGTGAGGTGCTAATGAGCAATGCTGGAAACAGATCAACCTGAGACAAGCTGACTTCATCACCCCCACTTCAAGTGCGTGCTTTCCTCTTGCAAGAGAAGGCAAATCAGACTGTGGAATCCTCCGCTGTGTCTTGTTTAATTCAAATTATTTTCCTACTGAATTCAAGAGCTTAGTACCTTAGAAGTACCTTAAAAGGAAAACAAAAAATTTTCTTATAACATAGCTCTACCACACAACCAGCACCTGGTTGTTCTGCTGTGGTTTTCTATCTTTGTGAGATCATTTGGCTTGAAAGTTTCCTAAAAAAATAGAAAGGAGACAGGTTTTAAGTTAGCTCAGGTTGTTCTCCTGGCTAAAATGCCAGGACATGTTTAGGACTTTATTTGACAGAACTATGCATACCACTGAAATGTGGCAGTCACTGTACAGGATGTTACTGCGTAAATACAGGCACTGAAAAGACACCTTACAAATACTGATTGAGAGGGGAACTCTTCTCAACAACAAATAAGTGACCTGAAAATCCAGTGAAGAAAAATATGACCTGATAATGAGATCATAGAAGCATATGGTCATAGAATGGTTTAGGTTGGAAGGGACCTCAAGGATCATTGATCTCCAATCCGCCCTCTAAAGCCTGTTAATTGAAAGTTTGCCGTGAGCACTGAGTAATGCTCGCTGTACATGTCTTCAGAAATGCAGTACCCTGCTCATGAAAGTAGAAAATGAACAAGAGGAAAGAAAGCTGCAAAGGAATGAAAAGCAGTGGGCTTTACGCTCTAGAACACAGTGTAAGCTCCTAAGCAGACTGACATCCCCTTTAAAATTGGCTAGATTTCTCTGCACTTGAATATGCTAAGCATTTTTCTGTATTACAGATGATGGCGCTTTTGATGGGGAACAAAAATCATCAAAAGAATCAAAAGATCTTAGGTGCTTCTAACAGTGATACCACATGTGTCCGTTTCACTTAGAAATGCTAAGAAAATGGATATGTTTAAAACATGTTAATAAAAATTAACTCACGTGCTGAAGTGAATGGAGTTTAAATACCTCAGGACTGAGATTCGGTAAGCGCTACAGAGGAATGAGTGCTGGCCTTTGCTACTCAGAAAAGAAAACGGTATTTCAAAGCTCTGAATGGAGCAGGGAAGACTTTTCAAAAGGCGCTGTTTCGAGAACTGTCATGGATTTTTCTGCTTGAAAATATACAGGATGGATAAGATAACCAGGCGTGGTTGTAGCAAAAGCAGAAAAGATTCCTTGAGAATGACCTTGAGAATAACCAGGCAGAATAACTGCGTTTGAAGAGATGGGGTCTGAGTGGTCTTGCAGAAGATGGTAAGTTAAAGTTCACACATTTGCAAACTGCTCTAAGCTTTTTGTTTAGTTTCAGCATTTCGGTTCAAAATTCAGAACTCCAGAAGGCTACATCCAGTGAAACTAACAGAGAGTGATATTAAAGCAGTTGTCAACACAGACCTAATGAGCTTTTGGAAATCTTTTTCAGAAGCTGCAACTGAGGCCAGGAGCTCAAAAGGATTACAAGTGCTAAGGCAAATGGAAATAGATAACGAATGCATCCAGAATCACAACAGTGACTTAATTCATACCTGCTGCCTTCATACCTACAAGGAAATTTTCATCTTTCACAGACATGTGGTGTGGGTCACTTCTTGGCAACCATTTCCACATGAACAGAAAAACAACATTTCTCTTCTTTATGTGATGAAGAAACAGTAAATGCAACATTTGAAATCCAACAAAACAATAACAACAAAGAAACGATCAGTAGCTCTACTTTAATGATCCGTTATGGCTTCATGAACATGTATGGGGGGAGGACTGCAAGGATTTCCCTTCCCAACTCCCAGCACATCTTACTGCAGACATACAAGGAACAGAGGATTTTTTCTCCTTTTATCTTTTACTGTATGTGTGGGCAGGAGATGTAAGAGAGAGTTCTTACTGACTTTCAACAAGCCTTTGCTATGAAATGCTGCTATGAGAGGCTGTGTGCCAAGTGCAGCAACGCTAAAAGAACGCTTAACAAGCTTAATTTAGAAAACGTATCTGTTCCATAAAGACATGAGATAAATGACAAGTATCAGACAGCATGAGTCGACATTCTCAGAAGGAACCTAGTTTGGAACGTGATTTCTTTATTATATGTTTGGCAAACTAACAAACTTTTTTTATCCTTACTATTCTTTCAAACCATACTGAGGATATTAGGCCACAGACACAAGCGCTTAGTGCTGATGTCTAGACTTATGCAGCTTCTAATTCACTTTCATTATCTAATAGTGGCTACAAGTGAATTTAATCAGTTCCAAAAGTTGAGAACAAAGCAGGATGACCCAGCGATGAAGAACAGCCAGGTTGCATCCTCTGCAGTCCTGTGGTCGCTACAGAACCTGTGATGGGTTCTGCTGCTGCTCCGGCCCTTGCAACGCATCCTGTAGCTGCTCCAGTCCCTGCAACAGGCCCCGCAATTGCTTCGGTCCTTGTAATGGACCTGTGGGTACCGTGACCCTCCTAAAGTGCCCCGCAGCCGCCATGACCCTCCCAGCAAGCCTTTGGTCACTCCAATCCCTATCATAAGTCTGGCAGTTCAACCAGAGAACTAACCAGTGCCTGTGACTGTTGTCTCCTTTAAGCAAGAAGGAAAAATGTCTACAAAAGCCAGAATGTTTAACAAGGAGAGAAGCTCATAAGGTGGAGCAAGGCCATGACTAAAATGGCAGAAGAAAGAGAAAGAAACTGGAAACACTCTGACTCCTAACATTAAGGGAACTATGAGATGTGCAAAAAGATTACACCTGTTGGCCAACCACATGCATACAAAGGTGGAAGCAACCACCGGATGGCTGGAAGCAGACTCCATGCACATTCCTAAAGCCCGAAGTATTATCCTGGGCCATGAAAAGCAAAGTGTGCCTTCTCATGACATGGCACCCGGAATGAACTGTGTCAGACAACAGGACTCATTTCTGAAGCAATCTCATAATCACCTGGGCAAGAAGAACACAGCACTGAGCTGGCATATCACATCCCCTGCCCCACACAGCATCTGGAAAAATCAGATGATACGTTGGCCTATGAAAGACTACTCCTAAGAGCCATTCAAGCACTGGGACACGTCTTCAGCAAAAGCCGCCTGGTTAGTCAGCACTCAGGGATCTGCCAGTGGGGCTGGTCCTGTCCAACGAGACGCTCTGTGTGCCACAGAAAGGGGACAAAGGCTCCGTGGTGCACGTAAAGAACGTGCTGAGCAAGGCAGTCTGGATTATTCCTGCCTCAATTTGTGGGATTACTTTTTCTGAAGGACCTGCGGGCACGTGGTGGGTAAAGCAGGATGGTGGGTGTCTGTTGTGTACCTTAAAGGGATTTGATGCTGTGTAAGAATAAACAAAGATACATATCGTGTATCAGTTGCTACACAATACCGCATGCCATCATCGCTATGGTTGTTATAAGGCTCAACAACACCGTTACAATTAGAACCACCCCAGCTGAAGAACGAATTTTGATGAAGTCAGAACTAGCTTAGCAAGAAGAAATCCAGCAACAGATGCTCCCTCGTGTACTGAAGTACTGCTATGACAGATAGAGCCCGAAATCATGAATTAAGTGAACTCCATGGACAGACAATTTACACAGATAGACCACGGACGATGGGAATTAGATGGGTGCACACATCAAAAAGTAAGACAGGAGATAGTAAATAGTTAGGACGTATAAGATTATTACCAGACCCCAGCATAACATAAATGGGACAGAACAAGGGGTGGATATCGCCTTGGTTTCATCAGGGACAGAGCACTTTTTCTTCATAGTGGCTGGTACGATGACACGTTTTGGAGAAGTACAATGCTGATAACACACCAACGTTGTCAGTTGTTATGGAGTAGTTCTGAACAGAGTGAACAGTGCTCTTTCTCTCAGCTTCTCCTACCATAAAGGAAGAGGGCTAGGAGCAGCACAGGGAGCTGGGACAGAATCGGGACAGCTGACCTAAATCTGGCCAAGGCAACATTCCATGCCATGCCACCCTATGCCATGATACATAAGGAAAGTTTGAAAAAGTTCCAGAGGGCAACTGGTGCGTGGGGACTGGCTGGGCATCAGTGGGGCTGAGCAATTGTGTGGGCATCAGTTGCTATTCATAAATACACGAGTGTATGTATCATAGCCATTCTCCACTTTTCCCTTTCTTTTCGATACATTAGGAAATTGTTTTTAACCTCACTCCACTACTTCTACTGGATCCCCCTCCCACCCCAGACTCTACTCCTACGCCATGGTAAGCAGGGGAGATAGCTAGAAACTGCCTAGGGATAAAGTTCCTGCCAAATTAAACAACTCTTCAGAGAAGCAAAATTACCAAAATGACCACTGAGCAGGGCAGAATGTGCAATAAGATCACTTTCAAAGAAAGAGAAGGGGTAAAGCACCAGCAGACACAAACACAATAATAGTTGGTGGGAAACCAGTCACAGATACCAGCCACGAGCACATCCCATTCATCCCATAAATCCTAGCCGTTGCCAGACAACAATGAAAACACAAAAAGGAAAGGAGCTCAGCACAAGTGTCCCTGGAACTGAGGCAGCTCGCTTGGCTGAAAACCTAACCCTGAGACCACGTGCAATAGGACATGGGCGAGATCAAGAGAAGAGCTCTGCCATATCAGTCACCACCAAACCCCAGACCAAACACCAAAAAAACCTCAGCTCAGACAAAAGGATTTTCCTCATGAGTGGAGAAAAGAAACTAATGGCTGGCTGGCAATTCAACCAGAATGAATCAGCTTCAAGCGGCAAAAGCAGTATAACTGAAAACAAAAATGCAACTCACGCTGGAGACAAAAAGAACACATGATTGAAAAAAAAAACAAGCAACTTTAATTTCAAAACGTCAAAGTAGGGAAGAGGATGCAACAAAACAGCAATACACACATTTCAACTGTGGCTTTGACAGATTAATTGATTGAGAATGACAATAAAAGTAACTTCGTTCATGCTTGCTCCTGCCTCCCGCGTCCCCACGCCGCTTCTCCTTCTTTCTTCCGCAGCAGCTCCTGAAACATCAGCGGGGACACCGTTAGAGCTGCGCAGCGGCAAGCCCCCCACCGGAAGGGAAAGGGAAACCAACCCAACATGGCAGAGGAACTCGGCACGCCACCTCCCAGCCAAGGAAGGCCTTGCATCCCCCCTCCCCAGTTCACACCAGCAAGAAATACTTGGAGCAGCTTTTCTCACCTCGCTGGCGCATGGCGCCCTTCCAGCCGGTGCTGCGGGGGATCACAGAGGCGGGCAGACTGGGCAAATGGAGCTGGGCACACACACACAGCAGCGGCCAAAGAGGCAGCTTCCCTGCTTACAGGGGACCCCCGGCCACTGCCTCCATTGCAAAGGGCCTGGGACTGCGGGGCACTGTCGCTCCCTGGCTTACAGGGCAGCCCCCATCCCTAGCGGCCGCGGGAGGCTCCTTCTCTCCCAGTCCGGGGGCACCTGGACCCGCACCCCGCTAGCGGGGCGGTCACCCCACACAGGCTGCCAGCTGAGCACAAGCGCTCGCGCACCCAGACCCTGATTACAGGCGGGTGGACGACACCCCTGGAGCCACAGAGCTCGGTTTCCCCCCCAGCGGCGGGAGCGACTCTCAGCTGCCAGGCAGCGGGGCGGCACGGCCAAATGCCGCGGTCGGGACCCCAGCCCTGGTTCCGGGCAGGGCGCAAGCCCAAGCCCACGTCTCGCGGCCCCGTGCCTCTGAAAGGCCGGGGCCACATGCCCGCCTGAGTACAGGGGGTCTCTCACAACGCAGCTCACCAAGCAAGCACACACCGGGGGGCACGCGCAGCCCTGCCTACAGGACGGTACCCCCACTGCCCACCCTCACCAAGAAGCCCCGCGGAGCACGAGGCTCCCGCCAACGCCTGAGCTACAGGCGGGCCCGCCCGGCAGCAGCACAACAGCACCAACCTCTCGTCTTTGGGAACCCAGGGAGCAACCTCGACCCACCGAGCGGGGAGGTCGCCCCACACGCAAAAGCAGCGCCTCAACCTGCACCCTCTGACGGGACAGGGAGGGGTCATTCCCACCAGCTGGATGGCTAGAGCAGCCGGCTGCAACGCCGCAGCCTCCCCGCGCCTGATTACAGGGCGGGCGGGCCGCTCGGGGGACAGAGGGCTCCGCAGCTTGGGACACACGCCCCGGGTACGGGGCTGTCACGCCGCCAGCGGAACAGGCGCCCACGCAAGAACAGGCCCAAGCCCTGGCTACAGGGCGGCCTCGGCCACACAACTACCACGTGGCCCTGATCTACACCAAGTACAAAGGAGGAAGACAGGACACTCGCTGCGCTCGCGGGACTGAGAGGGAACACCCCTTTTGCGGCGTGCACCACAGTCCTCCATTCCCCCCAGGGAAGTCGAAGCTAAGCTGCAGCCATCTTTGTGGGGGCCTAAAGGGAAAGCTCAGTCGCTCTGTCACTCCACAGACACAACCAAGGAAAGGAAGGGCAACGCGCACACACAGAGGCGGCTTTCCCGAAGGGAAGGACAACCCAGCGCAGCCAAACCCTGGGAATAAACCCACAACCGCGGGCAACAGACAAGAGCCTGTGACCTGTCCCTAGCCTGCACGGAGGCCACAGACCTCAACGTGCCAAGGGGCTTCCCAGCTAAAGCCAAAGGCCAGATGCCGTGACGCACACCCCGAGTACGGGGCCGTCGCATTGACAGGCCACCTCCAGGCAACGATGCCGAGGGGCCGGAGGAGGAAGAGGGGCGGGGAAAGGGCACTACCCTGCTTACAGGGAGGCCTCGGGGTCCGGCGAGCTCCGTTTCCCACTCAGGTGCGGAGAGGTGGCTCTCGCCCTGCGTTACAGGGGCCCACGCTCCCCAGGCAGCCAAAGGAGCAGCAAGGCAAAAGGCCAACTACAGCAAAAGCAAAGACCCGAGCCCTGCTTACAGGGAGGTCGCCCAGCACAAAGCCGGCCAAGGCGCCGGCAACGCTCAAACTCCAATGGGACTAAATGTGACTGCGGCCCCGCTAACGGGACGGCTGCTTTGCCCAGACTGCCTCTCCTTCCCCCCCGCGTCTGCACGCTTCCGCATCCTCTTCTTGCTTGCTTGCTTGCTTGCTTGCTTGCTTGCTTGCAGCCTCGCTCCTGCCTCCCGCGTCCCCACGCCGCTTCTCCTTCTTTCTTCCGCAGCAGCTCCTGAAACATCAGCGGGGACACCGTTAGAGCTGCGCAGCGGCAAGCCCCCCACCGGAAGGGAAAGGGAAACCAACCCAACATGGCAGAGGAACTCGGCACGCCACCTCCCAGCCAAGGAAGGCCTTGCATCCCCCCTCCCCAGTTCACACCAGCAAGAAATACTTGGAGCAGCTTTTCTCACCTCGCTGGCGCACGGCGCCCTTCCAGCCGGTGCTGCGGGGGATCACAGAGGCGGGCAGACTGGGCAAATGGAGCTGGGCACACACACACAGCAGCGGCCAAAGAGGCAGCTTCCCTGCTTACAGGGGACCCCCGGCCACTGCCTCCATTGCAAAGGGCCTGGGACTGCGGGGCACTGTCGCTCCCTGGCTTACAGGGCAGCCCCCATCCCTAGCGGCCGCGGGAGGCTCCTTCTCTCCCAGTCCGGGGGCACCTGGACCCGCACCCCGCTAGCGGGGCGGTCACCCCACACAGGCTGCCAGCTGAGCACAAGCGCTCGCGCACCCAGACCCTGATTACAGGCGGGTGGACGACACCCCTGGAGCCACAGAGCTCGGTTTCCCCCCCAGCGGCGGGAGCGACTCGCAGCTGCCAGGCAGCGGGGCGGCACGGCCAAATGCCGCGGTCGGGACCCCAGCCCTGGTTCCGGGCAGGGCGCAAGCCCAAGCCCACGTCTCGCGGCCCCGTGCCTCTGAAAGGCCGGGGCCACATGCCCGCCTGAGTACAGGGGGTCTCTCACAACGCAGCTCACCAAGCAAGCACACACCGGGGGGCACGCGCAGCCCTGCCTACAGGACGGTACCCCCACTGCCCACCCTCACCAAGAAGCCCCGCGGAGCACGAGGCTCCCGCCAACGCCTGAGCTACAGGCGGGCCCGCCCGGCAGCAGCACAACAGCACCAACCTCTCGTCTTTGGGAACCCAGGGAGCAACCTCGACCCACCGAGCGGGGAGGTCGCCCCACACGCAAAAGCAGCGCCTCAACCTGCACCCTCTGACGGGACAGGGAGGGGTCATTCCCACCAGCTGGATGGCTAGAGCAGCCGGCTGCAACGCCGCAGCCTCCCCGCGCCTGATTACAGGGCGGGCGGGCCGCTCGGGGGACAGAGGGCTCCGCAGCTTGGGACACACGCCCCGGGTACGGGGCTGTCACGCCGCCAGCGGAACAGGCGCCCACGCAAGAACAGGCCCAAGCCCTGGCTACAGGGCGGCCTCGGCCACACAACTACCACGTGGCCCTGATCTACACCAAGTACAAAGGAGGAAGACAGGACACTCGCTGCGCTCGCGGGACTGAGAGGGAACACCCCTTTTGCGGCGTGCACCACAGTCCTCCATTCCCCCCAGGGAAGTCGAAGCTAAGCTGCAGCCATCTTTGTGGGGGCCTAAAGGGAAAGCTCAGTCGCTCTGTCACTCCACAGACACAACCAAGGAAAGGAAGGGCAACGCGCACACACAGAGGCGGCTTTCCCGAAGGGAAGGACAACCCAGCGCAGCCAAACCCTGGGAATAAACCCACAACCGCGGGCAACAGACAAGAGCCTGTGACCTGTCCCTAGCCTGCACGGAGGCCACAGACCTCAACGTGCCAAGGGGCTTCCCAGCTAAAGCCAAAGGCCAGATGCCGTGACGCACACCCCGAGTACGGGGCCGTCGCATTGACAGGCCACCTCCAGGCAACGATGCCGAGGGGCCGGAGGAGGAAGAGGGGCGGGGAAAGGGCACTACCCTGCTTACAGGGAGGCCTCGGGGTCCGGCGAGCTCCGTTTCCCACTCAGGTGCGGAGAGGTGGCTCTCGCCCTGCGTTACAGGGGCCCACGCTCCCCAGGCAGCCAAAGGAGCAGCAAGGCAAAAGGCCAACTACAGCAAAAGCAAAGACCCGAGCCCTGCTTACAGGGAGGTCGCCCAGCACAAAGCCGGCCAAGGCGCCGGCAACGCTCAAACTCCAATGGGACTAAATGTGACTGCGGCCCCGCTAACGGGACGGCTGCTTTGCCCAGAGTGCCTCTCCTTCCCCCCCGCGTCTGCACGCTTCCGCATCCTCTTCTTGCTTGCTTGCTTGCTTGCTTGCTTGCTTGCTTGCTTGCAGCCTCGCTCCTGCCTCCCGCGTCCCCACGCCGCTTCTCCTTCTTTCTTCCGCAGCAGCTCCTGAAACATCAGCGGGGACACCGTTAGAGCTGCGCAGCGGCAAGCCCCCCACCGGAAGGGAAAGGGAAACCAACCCAACATGGCAGAGGAACTCGGCACGCCACCTCCCAGCCAAGGAAGGCCTTGCATCCCCCCTCCCCAGTTCACACCAGCAAGAAATACTTGGAGCAGCTTTTCTCACCTCGCTGGCGCATGGCGCCCTTCCAGCCGGTGCTGCGGGGGATCACAGAGGCGGGCAGACTGGGCAAATGGAGCTGGGCACACACACACAGCAGCGGCCAAAGAGGCAGCTTCCCTGCTTACAGGGGACCCCCGGCCACTGCCTCCATTGCAAAGGGCCTGGGACTGCGGGGCACTGTCGCTCCCTGGCTTACAGGGCAGCCCCCATCCCTAGCGGCCGCGGGAGGCTCCTTCTCTCCCAGTCCGGGGGCACCTGGACCCGCACCCCGCTAGCGGGGCGGTCACCCCACACAGGCTGCCAGCTGAGCACAAGCGCTCGCGCACCCAGACCCTGATTACAGGCGGGTGGACGACACCCCTGGAGCCACAGAGCTCGGTTTCCCCCCCAGCGGCGGGAGCGACTCTCAGCTGCCAGGCAGCGGGGCGGCACGGCCAAATGCCGCGGTCGGGACCCCAGCCCTGGTTCCGGGCAGGGCGCAAGCCCAAGCCCACGTCTCGCGGCCCCGTGCCTCTGAAAGGCCGGGGCCACATGCCCGCCTGAGTACAGGGGGTCTCTCACAACGCAGCTCACCAAGCAAGCACACACCGGGGGGCACGCGCAGCCCTGCCTACAGGACGGTACCCCCACTGCCCACCCTCACCAAGAAGCCCCGCGGAGCACGAGGCTCCCGCCAACGCCTGAGCTACAGGCGGGCCCGCCCGGCAGCAGCACAACAGCACCAACCTCTCGTCTTTGGGAACCCAGGGAGCAACCTCGACCCACCGAGCGGGGAGGTCGCCCCACACGCAAAAGCAGCGCCTCAACCTGCACCCTCTGACGGGACAGGGAGGGGTCATTCCCACCAGCTGGATGGCTAGAGCAGCCGGCTGCAACGCCGCAGCCTCCCCGCGCCTGATTACAGGGCGGGCGGGCCGCTCGGGGGACAGAGGGCTCCGCAGCTTGGGACACACGCCCCGGGTACGGGGCTGTCACGCCGCCAGCGGAACAGGCACCCACGCAAGAACAGGCCCAAGCCCTGGCTACAGGGCGGCCTCGGCCACACAACTACCACGTGGCCCTGATCTACACCAAGTACAAAGGAGGAAGACAGGACACTCGCTGCGCTCGCGGGACTGAGAGGGAACACCCCTTTTGCGGCGTGCACCACAGTCCTCCATTCCCCCCAGGGAAGTCGAAGCTAAGCTGCAGCCATCTTTGTGGGGGCCTAAAGGGAAAGCTCAGTCGCTCTGTCACTCCACAGACACAACCAAGGAAAGGAAGGGCAACGCGCACACACAGAGGCGGCTTTCCCGAAGGGAAGGACAACCCAGCGCAGCCAAACCCTGGGAATAAACCCACAACCGCGGGCAACAGACAAGAGCCTGTGACCTGTCCCTAGCCTGCACGGAGGCCACAGACCTCAACGTGCCAAGGGGCTTCCCAGCTAAAGCCAAAGGCCAGATGCCGTGACGCACACCCCGAGTACGGGGCCGTCGCATTGACAGGCCACCTCCAGGCAACGATGCCGAGGGGCCGGAGGAGGAAGAGGGGCGGGGAAAGGGCACTACCCTGCTTACAGGGAGGCCTCGGGGTCCGGCGAGCTCCGTTTCCCACTCAGGTGCGGAGAGGTGGCTCTCGCCCTGCGTTACAGGGGCCCACGCTCCCCAGGCAGCCAAAGGAGCAGCAAGGCAAAAGGCCAACTACAGCAAAAGCAAAGACCCGAGCCCTGCTTACAGGGAGGTCGCCCAGCACAAAGCCGGCCAAGGCGCCGGCAACGCTCAAACTCCAATGGGACTAAATGTGACTGCGGCCCCGCTAACGGGACGGCTGCTTTGCCCAGACTGCCTCTCCTTCCCCCCCGCGTCTGCACGCTTCCGCATCCTCTTCTTGCTTGCTTGCTTGCTTGCTTGCTTGCTTGCTTGCAGCCTCGCTCCTGCCTCCCGCGTCCCCACGCCGCTTCTCCTTCTTTCTTCCGCAGCAGCTCCTGAAACATCAGCGGGGACACCGTTAGAGCTGCGCAGCGGCAAGCCCCCCACCGGAAGGGAAAGGGAAACCAACCCAACATGGCAGAGGAACTCGGCACGCCACCTCCCAGCCAAGGAAGGCCTTGCATCCCCCCTCCCCAGTTCACACCAGCAAGAAATACTTGGAGCAGCTTTTCTCACCTCGCTGGCGCATGGCGCCCTTCCAGCCGGTGCTGCGGGGGATCACAGAGGCGGGCAGACTGGGCAAATGGAGCTGGGCACACACACACAGCAGCGGCCAAAGAGGCAGCTTCCCTGCTTACAGGGGACCCCCGGCCACTGCCTCCATTGCAAAGGGCCTGGGACTGCGGGGCACTGTCGCTCCCTGGCTTACAGGGCAGCCCCCATCCCTAGCGGCCGCGGGAGGCTCCTTCTCTCCCAGTCCGGGGGCACCTGGACCCGCACCCCGCTAGCGGGGCGGTCACCCCACACAGGCTGCCAGCTGAGCACAAGCGCTCGCGCACCCAGACCCTGATTACAGGCGGGTGGACGACACCCCTGGAGCCACAGAGCTCGGTTTCCCCCCCAGCGGCGGGAGCGACTCTCAGCTGCCAGGCAGCGGGGCGGCACGGCCAAATGCCGCGGTCGGGACCCCAGCCCTGGTTCCGGGCAGGGCGCAAGCCCAAGCCCACGTCTCGCGGCCCCGTGCCTCTGAAAGGCCGGGGCCACATGCCCGCCTGAGTACAGGGGGTCTCTCACAACGCAGCTCACCAAGCAAGCACACACCGGGGGGCACGCGCAGCCCTGCCTACAGGACGGTACCCCCACTGCCCACCCTCACCAAGAAGCCCCGCGGAGCACGAGGCTCCCGCCAACGCCTGAGCTACAGGCGGGCCCGCCCGGCAGCAGCACAACAGCACCAACCTCTCGTCTTTGGGAACCCAGGGAGCAACCTCGACCCACCGAGCGGGGAGGTCGCCCCACACGCAAAAGCAGCGCCTCAACCTGCACCCTCTGACGGGACAGGGAGGGGTCATTCCCACCAGCTGGATGGCTAGAGCAGCCGGCTGCAACGCCGCAGCCTCCCCGCGCCTGATTACAGGGCGGGCGGGCCGCTCGGGGGACAGAGGGCTCCGCAGCTTGGGACACACGCCCCGGGTACGGGGCTGTCACGCCGCCAGCGGAACAGGCGCCCACGCAAGAACAGGCCCAAGCCCTGGCTACAGGGCGGCCTCGGCCACACAACTACCACGTGGCCCTGATCTACACCAAGTACAAAGGAGGAAGACAGGACACTCGCTGCGCTCGCGGGACTGAGAGGGAACACCCCTTTTGCGGCGTGCACCACAGTCCTCCATTCCCCCCAGGGAAGTCGAAGCTAAGCTGCAGCCATCTTTGTGGGGGCCTAAAGGGAAAGCTCAGTCGCTCTGTCACTCCACAGACACAACCAAGGAAAGGAAGGGCAACGCGCACACACAGAGGCGGCTTTCCCGAAGGGAAGGACAACCCAGCGCAGCCAAACCCTGGGAATAAACCCACAACCGCGGGCAACAGACAAGAGCCTGTGACCTGTCCCTAGCCTGCACGGAGGCCACAGACCTCAACGTGCCAAGGGGCTTCCCAGCTAAAGCCAAAGGCCAGATGCCGTGACGCACACCCCGAGTACGGGGCCGTCGCATTGACAGGCCACCTCCAGGCAACGATGCCGAGGGGCCGGAGGAGGAAGAGGGGCGGGGAAAGGGCACTACCCTGCTTACAGGGAGGCCTCGGGGTCCGGCGAGCTCCGTTTCCCACTCAGGTGCGGAGAGGTGGCTCTCGCCCTGCGTTACAGGGGCCCACGCTCCCCAGGCAGCCAAAGGAGCAGCAAGGCAAAAGGCCAACTACAGCAAAAGCAAAGACCCGAGCCCTGCTTACAGGGAGGTCGCCCAGCACAAAGCCGGCCAAGGCGCCGGCAACGCTCAAACTCCAATGGGACTAAATGTGACTGCGGCCCCGCTAACGGGACGGCTGCTTTGCCCAGACTGCCTCTCCTTCCCCCCCGCGTCTGCACGCTTCCGCATCCTCTTCTTGCTTGCTTGCTTGCTTGCTTGCTTGCTTGCTTGCAGCCTCGCTCCTGCCTCCCGCGTCCCCACGCCGCTTCTCCTTCTTTCTTCCGCAGCAGCTCCTGAAACATCAGCGGGGACACCGTTAGAGCTGCGCAGCGGCAAGCCCCCCACCGGAAGGGAAAGGGAAACCAACCCAACATGGCAGAGGAACTCGGCACGCCACCTCCCAGCCAAGGAAGGCCTTGCATCCCCCCTCCCCAGTTCACACCAGCAAGAAATACTTGGAGCAGCTTTTCTCACCTCGCTGGCGCACGGCGCCCTTCCAGCCGGTGCTGCGGGGGATCACAGAGGCGGGCAGACTGGGCAAATGGAGCTGGGCACACACACACAGCAGCGGCCAAAGAGGCAGCTTCCCTGCTTACAGGGGACCCCCGGCCACTGCCTCCATTGCAAAGGGCCTGGGACTGCGGGGCACTGTCGCTCCCTGGCTTACAGGGCAGCCCCCATCCCTAGCGGCCGCGGGAGGCTCCTTCTCTCCCAGTCCGGGGGCACCTGGACCCGCACCCCGCTAGCGGGGCGGTCACCCCACACAGGCTGCCAGCTGAGCACAAGCGCTCGCGCACCCAGACCCTGATTACAGGCGGGTGGACGACACCCCTGGAGCCACAGAGCTCGGTTTCCCCCCCAGCGGCGGGAGCGACTCGCAGCTGCCAGGCAGCGGGGCGGCACGGCCAAATGCCGCGGTCGGGACCCCAGCCCTGGTTCCGGGCAGGGCGCAAGCCCAAGCCCACGTCTCGCGGCCCCGTGCCTCTGAAAGGCCGGGGCCACATGCCCGCCTGAGTACAGGGGGTCTCTCACAACGCAGCTCACCAAGCAAGCACACACCGGGGGGCACGCGCAGCCCTGCCTACAGGACGGTACCCCCACTGCCCACCCTCACCAAGAAGCCCCGCGGAGCACGAGGCTCCCGCCAACGCCTGAGCTACAGGCGGGCCCGCCCGGCAGCAGCACAACAGCACCAACCTCTCGTCTTTGGGAACCCAGGGAGCAACCTCGACCCACCGAGCGGGGAGGTCGCCCCACACGCAAAAGCAGCGCCTCAACCTGCACCCTCTGACGGGACAGGGAGGGGTCATTCCCACCAGCTGGATGGCTAGAGCAGCCGGCTGCAACGCCGCAGCCTCCCCGCGCCTGATTACAGGGCGGGCGGGCCGCTCGGGGGACAGAGGGCTCCGCAGCTTGGGACACACGCCCCGGGTACGGGGCTGTCACGCCGCCAGCGGAACAGGCGCCCACGCAAGAACAGGCCCAAGCCCTGGCTACAGGGCGGCCTCGGCCACACAACTACCACGTGGCCCTGATCTACACCAAGTACAAAGGAGGAAGACAGGACACTCGCTGCGCTCGCGGGACTGAGAGGGAACACCCCTTTTGCGGCGTGCACCACAGTCCTCCATTCCCCCCAGGGAAGTCGAAGCTAAGCTGCAGCCATCTTTGTGGGGGCCTAAAGGGAAAGCTCAGTCGCTCTGTCACTCCACAGACACAACCAAGGAAAGGAAGGGCAACGCGCACACACAGAGGCGGCTTTCCCGAAGGGAAGGACAACCCAGCGCAGCCAAACCCTGGGAATAAACCCACAACCGCGGGCAACAGACAAGAGCCTGTGACCTGTCCCTAGCCTGCACGGAGGCCACAGACCTCAACGTGCCAAGGGGCTTCCCAGCTAAAGCCAAAGGCCAGATGCCGTGACGCACACCCCGAGTACGGGGCCGTCGCATTGACAGGCCACCTCCAGGCAACGATGCCGAGGGGCCGGAGGAGGAAGAGGGGCGGGGAAAGGGCACTACCCTGCTTACAGGGAGGCCTCGGGGTCCGGCGAGCTCCGTTTCCCACTCAGGTGCGGAGAGGTGGCTCTCGCCCTGCGTTACAGGGGCCCACGCTCCCCAGGCAGCCAAAGGAGCAGCAAGGCAAAAGGCCAACTACAGCAAAAGCAAAGACCCGAGCCCTGCTTACAGGGAGGTCGCCCAGCACAAAGCCGGCCAAGGCGCCGGCAACGCTCAAACTCCAATGGGACTAAATGTGACTGCGGCCCCGCTAACGGGACGGCTGCTTTGCCCAGAGTGCCTCTCCTTCCCCCCCGCGTCTGCACGCTTCCGCATCCTCTTCTTGCTTGCTTGCTTGCTTGCTTGCTTGCTTGCTTGCTTGCAGCCTCGCTCCTGCCTCCCGCGTCCCCACGCCGCTTCTCCTTCTTTCTTCCGCAGCAGCTCCTGAAACATCAGCGGGGACACCGTTAGAGCTGCGCAGCGGCAAGCCCCCCACCGGAAGGGAAAGGGAAACCAACCCAACATGGCAGAGGAACTCGGCACGCCACCTCCCAGCCAAGGAAGGCCTTGCATCCTCCCTCCCCAGTTCACACCAGCAAGAAATACTTGGAGCAGCTTTTCTCACCTCGCTGGCGCACGGCGCCCTTCCAGCCGGTGCTGCGGGGGATCACAGAGGCGGGCAGACTGGGCAAATGGAGCTGGGCACACACACACAGCAGCGGCCAAAGAGGCAGCTTCCCTGCTTACAGGGGACCCCCGGCCACTGCCTCCATTGCAAAGGGCCTGGGACTGCGGGGCACTGTCGCTCCCTGGCTTACAGGGCAGCCCCCATCCCTAGCGGCCGCGGGAGGCTCCTTCTCTCCCAGTCCGGGGGCACCTGGACCCGCACCCCGCTAGCGGGGCGGTCACCCCACACAGGCTGCCAGCTGAGCACAAGCGCTCGCGCACCCAGACCCTGATTACAGGCGGGTGGACGACACCCCTGGAGCCACAGAGCTCGGTTTCCCCCCCAGCGGCGGGAGCGACTCGCAGCTGCCAGGCAGCGGGGCGGCACGGCCAAATGCCGCGGTCGGGACCCCAGCCCTGGTTCCGGGCAGGGCGCAAGCCCAAGCCCACGTCTCGCGGCCCCGTGCCTCTGAAAGGCCGGGGCCACATGCCCGCCTGAGTACAGGGGGTCTCTCACAACGCAGCTCACCAAGCAAGCACACACCGGGGGGCACGCGCAGCCCTGCCTACAGGACGGTACCCCCACTGCCCACCCTCACCAAGAAGCCCCGCGGAGCACGAGGCTCCCGCCAACGCCTGAGCTACAGGCGGGCCCGCCCGGCAGCAGCACAACAGCACCAACCTCTCGTCTTTGGGAACCCAGGGAGCAACCTCGACCCACCGAGCGGGGAGGTCGCCCCACACGCAAAAGCAGCGCCTCAACCTGCACCCTCTGACGGGACAGGGAGGGGTCATTCCCACCAGCTGGATGGCTAGAGCAGCCGGCTGCAACGCCGCAGCCTCCCCGCGCCTGATTACAGGGCGGGCGGGCCGCTCGGGGGACAGAGGGCTCCGCAGCTTGGGACACACGCCCCGGGTACGGGGCTGTCACGCCGCCAGCGGAACAGGCGCCCACGCAAGAACAGGCCCAAGCCCTGGCTACAGGGCGGCCTCGGCCACACAACTACCACGTGGCCCTGATCTACACCAAGTACAAAGGAGGAAGACAGGACACTCGCTGCGCTCGCGGGACTGAGAGGGAACACCCCTTTTGCGGCGTGCACCACAGTCCTCCATTCCCCCCAGGGAAGTCGAAGCTAAGCTGCAGCCATCTTTGTGGGGGCCTAAAGGGAAAGCTCAGTCGCTCTGTCACTCCACAGACACAACCAAGGAAAGGAAGGGCAACGCGCACACACAGAGGCGGCTTTCCCGAAGGGAAGGACAACCCAGCGCAGCCAAACCCTGGGAATAAACCCACAACCGCGGGCAACAGACAAGAGCCTGTGACCTGTCCCTAGCCTGCACGGAGGCCACAGACCTCAACGTGCCAAGGGGCTTCCCAGCTAAAGCCAAAGGCCAGATGCCGTGACGCACACCCCGAGTACGGGGCCGTCGCATTGACAGGCCACCTCCAGGCAACGATGCCGAGGGGCCGGAGGAGGAAGAGGGGCGGGGAAAGGGCACTACCCTGCTTACAGGGAGGCCTCGGGGTCCGGCGAGCTCCGTTTCCCACTCAGGTGCGGAGAGGTGGCTCTCGCCCTGCGTTACAGGGGCCCACGCTCCCCAGGCAGCCAAAGGAGCAGCAAGGCAAAAGGCCAACTACAGCAAAAGCAAAGACCCGAGCCCTGCTTACAGGGAGGTCGCCCAGCACAAAGCCGGCCAAGGCGCCGGCAACGCTCAAACTCCAATGGGACTAAATGTGACTGCGGCCCCGCTAACGGGACGGCTGCTTTGCCCAGAGTGCCTCTCCTTCCCCCCCGCGTCTGCACGCTTCCGCATCCTCTTCTTGCTTGCTTGCTTGCTTGCTTGCTTGCTTGCTTGCTTGCAGCCTCGCTCCTGCCTCCCGCGTCCCCACGCCGCTTCTCCTTCTTTCTTCCGCAGCAGCTCCTGAAACATCAGCGGGGACACCGTTAGAGCTGCGCAGCGGCAAGCCCCCCACCGGAAGGGAAAGGGAAACCAACCCAACATGGCAGAGGAACTCGGCACGCCACCTCCCAGCCAAGGAAGGCCTTGCATCCTCCCTCCCCAGTTCACACCAGCAAGAAATACTTGGAGCAGCTTTTCTCACCTCGCTGGCGCACGGCGCCCTTCCAGCCGGTGCTGCGGGGGATCACAGAGGCGGGCAGACTGGGCAAATGGAGCTGGGCACACACACACAGCAGCGGCCAAAGAGGCAGCTTCCCTGCTTACAGGGGACCCCCGGCCACTGCCTCCATTGCAAAGGGCCTGGGACTGCGGGGCACTGTCGCTCCCTGGCTTACAGGGCAGCCCCCATCCCTAGCGGCCGCGGGAGGCTCCTTCTCTCCCAGTCCGGGGGCACCTGGACCCGCACCCCGCTAGCGGGGCGGTCACCCCACACAGGCTGCCAGCTGAGCACAAGCGCTCGCGCACCCAGACCCTGATTACAGGCGGGTGGACGACACCCCTGGAGCCACAGAGCTCGGTTTCCCCCCCAGCGGCGGGAGCGACTCGCAGCTGCCAGGCAGCGGGGCGGCACGGCCAAATGCCGCGGTCGGGACCCCAGCCCTGGTTCCGGGCAGGGCGCAAGCCCAAGCCCACGTCTCGCGGCCCCGTGCCTCTGAAAGGCCGGGGCCACATGCCCGCCTGAGTACAGGGGGTCTCTCACAACGCAGCTCACCAAGCAAGCACACACCGGGGGGCACGCGCAGCCCTGCCTACAGGACGGTACCCCCACTGCCCACCCTCACCAAGAAGCCCCGCGGAGCACGAGGCTCCCGCCAACGCCTGAGCTACAGGCGGGCCCGCCCGGCAGCAGCACAACAGCACCAACCTCTCGTCTTTGGGAACCCAGGGAGCAACCTCGACCCACCGAGCGGGGAGGTCGCCCCACACGCAAAAGCAGCGCCTCAACCTGCACCCTCTGACGGGACAGGGAGGGGTCATTCCCACCAGCTGGATGGCTAGAGCAGCCGGCTGCAACGCCGCAGCCTCCCCGCGCCTGATTACAGGGCGGGCGGGCCGCTCGGGGGACAGAGGGCTCCGCAGCTTGGGACACACGCCCCGGGTACGGGGCTGTCACGCCGCCAGCGGAACAGGCGCCCACGCAAGAACAGGCCCAAGCCCTGGCTACAGGGCGGCCTCGGCCACACAACTACCACGTGGCCCTGATCTACACCAAGTACAAAGGAGGAAGACAGGACACTCGCTGCGCTCGCGGGACTGAGAGGGAACACCCCTTTTGCGGCGTGCACCACAGTCCTCCATTCCCCCCAGGGAAGTCGAAGCTAAGCTGCAGCCATCTTTGTGGGGGCCTAAAGGGAAAGCTCAGTCGCTCTGTCACTCCACAGACACAACCAAGGAAAGGAAGGGCAACGCGCACACACAGAGGCGGCTTTCCCGAAGGGAAGGACAACCCAGCGCAGCCAAACCCTGGGAATAAACCCACAACCGCGGGCAACAGACAAGAGCCTGTGACCTGTCCCTAGCCTGCACGGAGGCCACAGACCTCAACGTGCCAAGGGGCTTCCCAGCTAAAGCCAAAGGCCAGATGCCGTGACGCACACCCCGAGTACGGGGCCGTCGCATTGACAGGCCACCTCCAGGCAACGATGCCGAGGGGCCGGAGGAGGAAGAGGGGCGGGGAAAGGGCACTACCCTGCTTACAGGGAGGCCTCGGGGTCCGGCGAGCTCCGTTTCCCACTCAGGTGCGGAGAGGTGGCTCTCGCCCTGCGTTACAGGGGCCCACGCTCCCCAGGCAGCCAAAGGAGCAGCAAGGCAAAAGGCCAACTACAGCAAAAGCAAAGACCCGAGCCCTGCTTACAGGGAGGTCGCCCAGCACAAAGCCGGCCAAGGCGCCGGCAACGCTCAAACTCCAATGGGACTAAATGTGACTGCGGCCCCGCTAACGGGACGGCTGCTTTGCCCAGACTGCCTCTCCTTCCCCCCCGCGTCTGCACGCTTCCGCATCCTCTTCTTGCTTGCTTGCTTGCTTGCTTGCTTGTTGCCTCGCTCCTGCCTCCAGCGTCCCCACGCCGCTTCTCCTTCTTTCTTCCGCAGCAGCTCCTGAAACATCAGCGGGGACACCGTTAGAGCTGCGCAGCGGCAAGCCCCCCACCGGAAGGGAAAGGGAAACCAACCCAACATGGCAGAGGAACTCGGCACGCCACCTCCCAGCCAAGGAAGGCCTTGCATCCCCCCTCCCCAGTTCACACCAGCAAGAAATACTTGGAGCAGCTTTTCTCACCTCGCTGGCGCACGGCGCCCTTCCAGCCGGTGCTGCGGGGGATCACAGAGGCGGGCAGACTGGGCAAATGGAGCTGGGCACACACACACCGCAGCGGCCAAAGAGGCAGCTTCCCTGCTTACAGGGGACCCCCGGCCACTGCCTCCATTGCAAAGGGCCTGGGACTGCGGGGCACTGTCGCTCCCTGGCTTACAGGGCAGCCCCCATCCCTAGCGGCCGCGGGAGGCTCCTTCTCTCCCAGTCCGGGGGCACCTGGACCCGCACCCCGCTAGCGGGGCGGTCACCCCACACAGGCTGCCAGCTGAGCACAAGCGCTCGCGCACCCAGACCCTGATTACAGGCGGGTGGACGACACCCCTGGAGCCACAGAGCTCGGTTTCCCCCCCAGCGGCGGGAGCGACTCGCAGCTGCCAGGCAGCGGGGCGGCACGGCCAAATGCCGCGGTCGGGACCCCAGCCCTGGTTCCGGGCAGGGCGCAAGCCCAAGCCCACGTCTCGCGGCCCCGTGCCTCTGAAAGGCCGGGGCCACATGCCCGCCTGAGTACAGGGGGTCTCTCACAACGCAGCTCACCAAGCAAGCACACACCGGGGGGCACGCGCAGCCCTGCCTACAGGACGGTACCCCCACTGCCCACCCTCACCAAGAAGCCCCGCGGAGCACGAGGCTCCCGCCAACGCCTGAGCTACAGGCGGGCCCGCCCGGCAGCAGCACAACAGCACCAACCTCTCGTCTTTGGGAACCCAGGGAGCAACCTCGACCCACCGAGCGGGGAGGTCGCCCCACACGCAAAAGCAGCGCCTCAACCTGCACCCTCTGACGGGACAGGGAGGGGTCATTCCCACCAGCTGGATGGCTAGAGCAGCCGGCTGCAACGCCGCAGCCTCCCCGCGCCTGATTACAGGGCGGGCGGGCCGCTCGGGGGACAGAGGGCTCCGCAGCTTGGGACACACGCCCCGGGTACGGGGCTGTCACGCCGCCAGCGGAACAGGCGCCCACGCAAGAACAGGCCCAAGCCCTGGCTACAGGGCGGCCTCGGCCACACAACTACCACGTGGCCCTGATCTACACCAAGTACAAAGGAGGAAGACAGGACACTCGCTGCGCTCGCGGGACTGAGAGGGAACACCCCTTTTGCGGCGTGCACCACAGTCCTCCATTCCCCCCAGGGAAGTCGAAGCTAAGCTGCAGCCATCTTTGTGGGGGCCTAAAGGGAAAGCTCAGTCGCTCTGTCACTCCACAGACACAACCAAGGAAAGGAAGGGCAACGCGCACACACAGAGGCGGCTTTCCCGAAGGGAAGGACAACCCAGCGCAGCCAAACCCTGGGAATAAACCCACAACCGCGGGCAACAGACAAGAGCCTGTGACCTGTCCCTAGCCTGCACGGAGGCCACAGACCTCAACGTGCCAAGGGGCTTCCCAGCTAAAGCCAAAGGCCAGATGCCGTGACGCACACCCCGAGTACGGGGCCGTCGCATTGACAGGCCACCTCCAGGCAACGATGCCGAGGGGCCGGAGGAGGAAGAGGGGCGGGGAAAGGGCACTACCCTGCTTACAGGGAGGCCTCGGGGTCCGGCGAGCTCCGTTTCCCACTCAGGTGCGGAGAGGTGGCTCTCGCCCTGCGTTACAGGGGCCCACGCTCCCCAGGCAGCCAAAGGAGCAGCAAGGCAAAAGGCCAACTACAGCAAAAGCAAAGACCCGAGCCCTGCTTACAGGGAGGTCGCCCAGCACAAAGCCGGCCAAGGCGCCGGCAACGCTCAAACTCCAATGGGACTAAATGTGACTGCGGCCCCGCTAACGGGACGGCTGCTTTGCCCAGACTGCCTCTCCTTCCCCCCCGCGTCTGCACGCTTCCGCATCCTCTTCTTGCTTGCTTGCTTGCTTGCTTGCTTGTTGCCTCGCTCCTGCCTCCAGCGTCCCCACGCCGCTTCTCCTTCTTTCTTCCGCAGCAGCTCCTGAAACATCAGCGGGGACACCGTTAGAGCTGCGCAGCGGCAAGCCCCCCACCGGAAGGGAAAGGGAAACCAACCCAACATGGCAGAGGAACTCGGCACGCCACCTCCCAGCCAAGGAAGGCCTTGCATCCCCCCTCCCCAGTTCACACCAGCAAGAAATACTTGGAGCAGCTTTTCTCACCTCGCTGGCGCACGGCGCCCTTCCAGCCGGTGCTGCGGGGGATCACAGAGGCGGGCAGACTGGGCAAATGGAGCTGGGCACACACACACAGCAGCGGCCAAAGAGGCAGCTTCCCTGCTTACAGGGGACCCCCGGCCACTGCCTCCATTGCAAAGGGCCTGGGACTGCGGGGCACTGTCGCTCCCTGGCTTACAGGGCAGCCCCCATCCCTAGCGGCCGCGGGAGGCTCCTTCTCTCCCAGTCCGGGGGCACCTGGACCCGCACCCCGCTAGCGGGGCGGTCACCCCACACAGGCTGCCAGCTGAGCACAAGCGCTCGCGCACCCAGACCCTGATTACAGGCGGGTGGACGACACCCCTGGAGCCACAGAGCTCGGTTTCCCCCCCAGCGGCGGGAGCGACTCGCAGCTGCCAGGCAGCGGGGCGGCACGGCCAAATGCCGCGGTCGGGACCCCAGCCCTGGTTCCGGGCAGGGCGCAAGCCCAAGCCCACGTCTCGCGGCCCCGTGCCTCTGAAAGGCCGGGGCCACATGCCCGCCTGAGTACAGGGGGTCTCTCACAACGCAGCTCACCAAGCAAGCACACACCGGGGGGCACGCGCAGCCCTGCCTACAGGACGGTACCCCCACTGCCCACCCTCACCAAGAAGCCCCGCGGAGCACGAGGCTCCCGCCAACGCCTGAGCTACAGGCGGGCCCGCCCGGCAGCAGCACAACAGCACCAACCTCTCGTCTTTGGGAACCCAGGGAGCAACCTCGACCCACCGAGCGGGGAGGTCGCCCCACACGCAAAAGCAGCGCCTCAACCTGCACCCTCTGACGGGACAGGGAGGGGTCATTCCCACCAGCTGGATGGCTAGAGCAGCCGGCTGCAACGCCGCAGCCTCCCCGCGCCTGATTACAGGGCGGGCGGGCCGCTCGGGGGACAGAGGGCTCCGCAGCTTGGGACACACGCCCCGGGTACGGGGCTGTCACGCCGCCAGCGGAACAGGCGCCCACGCAAGAACAGGCCCAAGCCCTGGCTACAGGGCGGCCTCGGCCACACAACTACCACGTGGCCCTGATCTACACCAAGTACAAAGGAGGAAGACAGGACACTCGCTGCGCTCGCGGGACTGAGAGGGAACACCCCTTTTGCGGCGTGCACCACAGTCCTCCATTCCCCCCAGGGAAGTCGAAGCTAAGCTGCAGCCATCTTTGTGGGGGCCTAAAGGGAAAGCTCAGTCGCTCTGTCACTCCACAGACACAACCAAGGAAAGGAAGGGCAACGCGCACACACAGAGGCGGCTTTCCCGAAGGGAAGGACAACCCAGCGCAGCCAAACCCTGGGAATAAACCCACAACCGCGGGCAACAGACAAGAGCCTGTGACCTGTCCCTAGCCTGCACGGAGGCCACAGACCTCAACGTGCCAAGGGGCTTCCCAGCTAAAGCCAAAGGCCAGATGCCGTGACGCACACCCCGAGTACGGGGCCGTCGCATTGACAGGCCACCTCCAGGCAACGATGCCGAGGGGCCGGAGGAGGAAGAGGGGCGGGGAAAGGGCACTACCCTGCTTACAGGGAGGCCTCGGGGTCCGGCGAGCTCCGTTTCCCACTCAGGTGCGGAGAGGTGGCTCTCGCCCTGCGTTACAGGGGCCCACGCTCCCCAGGCAGCCAAAGGAGCAGCAAGGCAAAAGGCCAACTACAGCAAAAGCAAAGACCCGAGCCCTGCTTACAGGGAGGTCGCCCAGCACAAAGCCGGCCAAGGCGCCGGCAACGCTCAAACTCCAATGGGACTAAATGTGACTGCGGCCCCGCTAACGGGACGGCTGCTTTGCCCAGAGTGCCTCTCCTTCCCCCCCGCGTCTGCACGCTTCCGCATCCTCTTGCTTGCTCCTGCCTTCCACAGCAGGTCCTGAAACATCAAGAAGGACACCATTGTACCTCCAGAGCGGCCTGCGCACAACCGGAAGGAAACAGGAAACCCAACATTACAGATGAATTCAGCATGTCACCACCCAGGCAAGAAAAGCCTTGCCTTCCTTTGCCCCGCCCCCTCCCGCCCCACCCTTTCATTCCAAAAAGCTACTCAGAGCAGCTTTTCTCACCTCATTGAAGCAGGGTGCGCTTCCATCTGGTTCTGCAAGGGATCACAGAGGTGGGCAGACTGGGCCATGCTTATCTGGCAATATACATAGCAGCAGCCAAAGAGTCAGCTGCTTTGCTTACAGCGGACCCCCAGTCTCTAACTTCATTGAAAATACAACAGGTTTTATTATATTATTTGGTCTGCCTAAAGTCAACCACTGTGCCATCTTGACACTTCTGAGTTGTCCATCTTTTCCATCTGTTTAGGAGGTTCTTTTTCCTCGTGTTTCTCTCCTCTTCTGGTTGATTTGAGATTCCAGCTGCTATAAATTCATCTCATTTCTCATTCACCAGTTCATTACAACAGAATTTTCAGCTTACAACATCTACTTCCATGGATTATCTTAAAGTAGAATACAAAATTTGGAGCTGAAGGCTAAATTTTTGTCTTAGCATCTACCTTTTTGCTGCTATAGAGCTTCTTTAACACAGTTCTATTATTAAACACAACAACACTGCTTTACTTCTTCCCCCTTTTCATCAGAGACGCACTTCTCTTGTCCTCCCTCATTTCCACCACGCCATTAGAAAGCAGAGAGTAAAAGCCGCGCACTTCAACACCGCAATAGCAGTCATTATTGTTTTATTATTGCTGCTCGCCGCTGCCTCGATGCGTCTCCTTCCACGTGGCAACTCGCCCCTCTCGTGGCGCCTGCGCCCCTTCTGTGGGAGCGCGCTCTGTGCTCCCTGCACTCGGTGCCGGCTCTGAGACCCCGGCTCTGCCCGCCCGCCAGCGGAGCATAAGACGCGGCTCCAGCCCCGGCTCCTTCCCGCCACCGGAGCCCCACAGGCGGCTCCAGCACCGACTCCGTCCGCCCGCCATCGATGCCCCCGCGGCGGTCCCGGCTTCGGTTGCCATCCGTCGGAGTCCGCGCGGCAGCGGCGGCGTCCCCACCCCACCCCACCCCACCCCACCCCGCCCCACCCCGCCCCGCCCCGCCTCGACCCGGCCCGGCCCCCGCCCCGCCGCAGCCCGCGCCGGCCCCGCTACGCCTTGCCTCGGATCCGGCGTACCTCGGCCCCGTCGCACCTCAGCTCTGGAGACCGTTTGCCGCCGTCGCCGCCTTTCCCTCACGGCACGCCGCTTCTTCTCACGCGCTGTGGAGAACGTCTCACCCACCTGCCCGCGCGCACGCCTTTTATAGCTGTCCCTTCAGCCCGCCAGCCAATAGGAGCCCCGAACGCCGCTGTCGCTTCCCGCGCTATTCTTCCCGCCGCTCTCTCTCTATCCCCCTCGATGTTCCCGCCCTTTCTTCCTAACGGCGGCCTCCCCGGGGTCATCTGAAGGTCACGGCCGGGGTCACCTGCAGGTCACGGCCCCGCTCACAGGTGTGGCCGCCCGGCCCCTCAGGGTAGCGCCGCCGCACAGGTAATCTCAGCTCACAGCCTCGCACCTGGCAGAGCTGCCTGTGGAACTCGTTCCTTCCATCTCAGCGTTGCTTTTAACAGTCATATACACATTAGGCAGTCCTTCCTGACTTACAGATCCCCACCGACTTAATTTTAAAGTATTTTTGTATCTTTTTAAGGAATTCTTCCCTGTGACCCCTCCCATCTGCCCCTACAGCACAAACCCCTTCTGAGCTCAGAAATATCTTTACCAAGGGAAAGGGTAAAACAAGCCGGCAGCTGTATGCAGGATGCCATTGATGTGTCAGCTCAGGACGCTCTCGCTTTGCAGAGCTGCTTCTATTTTGTACCTCATTCACACACCGGGGCTGAAATGCTCACCTGATGGCTGCGCTCTGCAGCCTTTGCTCAGCTCCCTTCCTTCTGCCCCCAGCTGCGTGCTTTCTCACTGTAGCAGTGCAACAAACAAGGAGTATGGAAGAGACCAACAGTGGATTCAGAGTATATGTGGCCCCCACCAAGCTGAAACAGCGTGTAGCAGCAGCAGCAATGACTCAGCTGGGAGTCACGTACATAACAGCTGAACTTTCTGTGCGTTTGTAAAATTAGTGGTAAAGGAAGGCTTGCACCAGAGAGCTTTTTACTAGAGCAACATCACTGTGTATAAAGAAACACTGAAGAGGTTTACTTTTCCTCTTCCCTGTTTACTGCCACTGAGATAATTTCTAGAGGGCAGTCTTGCAAAGTAAAAAGCTGAGTGAAGGAAGCATTCAGTACTCAGGCCTTTTGCTGTTCTGCATCACAAGGGTCCTGTATCAATTAGTAACAGAGCCACATTTCACTTGGTCTTCCTGTAGGGTCCCTTTTTGGGTCACAGCTTCTTCCCTGACAGGGACATCTGCTCAACAACAAGCATGAGCTGCAGCAGAAACTGCTGCATCTGCCTGGGAGCTGCACTGCATGCTGTGTTTATGTACAGGCCTCTCTCTAGGGCCAAGTGAGAGGATGCTTAACCCTTCCGAATAAGGGTCAAGCTGTACTGAAGGCTGCAAGCACCCTGGGGTCAATGGCAGCTAAACAAACTGTTAGAAGCCTCTGGTGATTCCCTTAGCCCAAAGCCCTTTTTGGTTCCCCCTTACCTTGATCTTATCTAGCATTAAGGCCAAAAATTATAGAAACTTCCTTGACAAGTTATCCCATACCTTACCTGTTTACAGAAAAAAAAAAAAGTTTTCTAAGTGCCATTTAAAAGTATAGGCTGTATATAAGGCTCCTCGCCCTATGCAAACTGTTTTTCTTCCTTTAAGCACAATGTATCTTTATAGCACTGAGCATGATTTCAGAAGTGGTAATTATTACAAACCCACTGGAATCTCTGGTGCAAAAGCAATGCACAAATCTGTACAAACAAACCAAAGTTGCAGAGTAGCAGGCGTTTCCTAAATGGTGGCACAATTACCTCCAGAGAGACAGAAACATCTCTGGATTCAATGCCTACAAAACTGTAAAAAGTTTTGTTAAACAATGTTATCCAACTTAAGATAAAGGATGTTATGCATTTCTAAAGCTTAGCTTATGGCAATTCTTATATTATTTTCAAAACAATGTTGTTTGAATACATCAGCATCCTTTATGCTCAGTGATCATCACCCTCCTGTCTTTTACCTGCAAACTGCAACATTGAGCACGTTTTCACTGACAGTATCAATTCTCTTTAGAGGATATGAAAATCACAAATTCATAAATTGTGAATGCCACTACTACTATGTGAAATCCACATAAATGCTTTTGTTTTTTAAGAAAAATAAGAATTGCAGCAACGAATATGCTGACCTTCACTGCTCAAGGGCAATCACAAACCAAAGTAAAACAAGGGGCCAGCAAAATCATGGAACTCTACAGTCTTAATTTGATATTAAAAAAAAATAACAATCCACTGGAGTGGCATGAAGTTCAAAAGCCTTTTGTTTTTTGTTTTTTGGCACTGTCTGGCACGTGTTGGGAAAGATGTTAAAATGTAACGGTTGTCGTCAGCAGAATTTGCTGTTGAACACTATCAAAATACAAAGTAACAGCCCGCTAGATGAATAGGAGAAGGTAAGGTAACACCCAGACCCAGGGCAGCACAGCTGGGCTCGGATTAGGCACTGAGAGAAAGATCAGACAACGTTTATGCATGCTTCTGGTATTCAAATTAACTGGCATTGCTAGTTTGGGGCAAGCACTCCAAAGCGCATTTACAGAGGAACGTATTCTAGTACAGTATCATGAGAAGTTTATTTTAATATTTTAGTACAGTTCTTTAAATAAATACAAATGATTCTGTTCTTAAAATGGATCTTGTTGGCACCAGCAGGTTATCCAGCAAGGTCTGCTCCCACTCTGCATGAATATACAATACTCCACAGCGTTCAGGTCTTTAACAGTCATGTACATTAGATCAACTTCTGCCCAAAAACTTTTAGAATATGTTGCTGCCTTAATCAGTAACCTAGCTCTTAAAGGTTTGTTTGGACATATTATGATAGTATTCATTGCCTACTTACCATACAGATACTCATCGTGAAGGGCATGCCCCAGCCTTATTTGCACTTCAAAGCAGAGAAACAGTTCTCAGAGCTGTAGTATCAGTAGTTCACTCCAATGACACCTACTTGAGCTCAGGTAGTTTTACAGAAAAGTCACAAGAGAAGACTGTACCCTTTTTATCTATAGTTTGATACTGAAGAACAGCAATGATTTCTCCTTCTAGTGTCACCCTATCATTCTTCCTATTTGTTTCTTGCTCTTCTCTAGAGACCTGAACTCTGGAAAAGTAGAGAAATAGAACCAATAGAACATAGCTGTTATTCTGGAGGATGATTATCTATGCTAATTACTCCATAAGAACTACTATTGGGAAGACAAGTGCATAGATTGGCAGGGGAATCATTTGAGTTGGAAGGGAACTTCCAAGCTCCCCTGCAATGAACACGGATACCCACAGCTAGGTTAGGTTGTTTGGATCCAAGTTCAGCCTGACCTTGAAAGTCCCCAGGAATGGGGTGCATCCACCACCTCTCTGGATAACCTGTTCCAGTGCCTCACCACCCTTATTTTAAAACATCTTTTTCTCATATCCAATCTACATCCATCTGTTAATTTGAAACTATTTCCCCTTCTCCTATCACAACAGACCCTGCCAAAGAGTCTGTCCCCTTATTTCCCATTGCCCCACTTTAGATACTGAAAGACTGCTATCAGGTCACCTCAGAACTTTCTCTTTTCCAGGCTTAACAACCCCAGCTCTCTCAGCCCGTCCTTGCAGTAGAGGTGTTCCATCCCTCGGATTGTTTCTGTGGCCCTTCTCTAGATGTGCTTCAACAGGTTCGTGTCTCTCCTGCACTGAGGATTCCACATGTGGATGCAGGACTCCAAGTGAGGTCTCACCAGCACAGAGGGGCAGGACCACCTCCCTTTCCCTGCTGGCCATGCTTCTTTTGATGCAGCCCAGAACACAGTCGGCTTTCCGTGCTGTGAGGACACATTGCTGGCTCACATTCAGCTTGCTGTACAGCAGTACCTCCAAATCCTTTTCACAGGGCCGTGCAAAATCCTTTCATCCCCTGACACATAATGATAGCAAGAGCTAGCACAACCATGGTGCAAAACCTTGCACTTTACTTGATTGAACCTCACAACTTTAACCCTGTCCTGCTGCTCAAGCTGTTTGTGCCCTGAAATAGAGTAGCAGGGTTACTCACCTTTAAAGAGCCTTTCAGTAAATACAAAATGTCTCAAGACCTTTATCCTTCTCCTAAGACCACTTAAACCATGAGCAAGAACAGGCATCTCAAAGCCACAGTGCTATTACCTGTTGTGCAACACAAGTACATCTTCAGTTGAACCTTCACAGAATGATAAAGTCTTGCTAAAGATAGGATGTATTCCATTAGGCATAACAAAGAGCAATTAAAAAGTAATATAATCCTTTTAGACCTCTTCTTTGTCCCTTTCCTGTGAACTGTCTGGCTTGCAAGACTCAAGTAACGAGGGCACTATAATCAGGCTTCTTAAATTTTGCAGTGAGATTTCCCACTGGAATCAATAGATTTTAAAGAGTCTGTCTTAAGACATTTTATAGCTTCTGAGAGCAAAGACTCTGCATGTTTGGCAGGAACAATTTGCTGATGTTTTTCTAACATCAGAGTCAAAAATCACATCAGAGTTGCAGTTTCTTTGTTCTTACAGCTAAATGAATACTAGAAAGTAAATGACAAACTGAAGTCTTAGCTATCATTGTGAATAGGATGATCACAGTTTGAGACAGAAGGTCACTTTCACTTGATTGTTCCCAAGACCCTAGCAGACAGTTCAACCTTTGATATTTGTAAGAAAGAACAACATCCTAATGATTATTGCACTAATGATTAGTTTCAGAGCTCCAGCAATGTCTTTTAGACAACACCTATATTCAATTGTACAGGTGTCTTTTTGTTGCTGCGTTCTGGTTTTGTTTGTTTTTCTGTTCTGCTATGCATTATACAGTCAGAACTGATTCATGCTCTGATGAGACCCTGAGAGTTTGTCTTCTAGTTTAAGTTCATTCCAAAGGAATCCAATTCCAGCCATACTGACAAAAGCACAGTAACTAGGATAAATTAAGTAGTATTCTGCCTGCTTTTTTTCCCCTCTCCAGCAATAAAGCTATTTTAAGGTTTAACTGTACAAGGAAACATTAAGCAATTTCAAGTGTTAATTCTGTCACGTATGGCTGTTACTGTTCATGCAACTTATAATAGTTTTCAGCATCTGCAAACAATGAAAAATCTCATTGACTTATTATTTATAAGTCTGAAGGACTTCATAAAGTAATCAGTGATTGAATAAAGTACCTATATGCATCACCACAGCAGTAACTCATCGGTTGAATTTCAAGAGCATAGCAGGGCACTGAGCCACATTTCAGAAAACAAAACTTCAAGAATTCTTTGGCAGACTACTGAATTGTAAACAACCTGTACAGAACCAATATACTCTCTGAACACCACTGCTTTAAGGGCATTCCTCTCTGAGGAGATCTGAGCGATTCTTAGGAGAAAAGTTGCTGTAAGGATATATCCAGCATAATGCACATACTCAAAACGTAGACACTGCATCTTTAATGTTGCTTGTGCACTGAGAGCACATGGAGATAAATTTCTATTTCAAGACTAATTTGCAAAGGAGCTGCACAATGCATAGAATGAGCAAATTATAATGAAAATTAGGTCCAAGTTTTCAAATAAAAATTCCACTTGTTTGACAATCTAGGAGGTCCATAACTACCGTTGCACATGTGAAGGCAATATGGAGGAAATGCCAAGAAATCCAGCAGGTCCCAGCCAGCATACAGTCCTATCAAAACACAGAAAGAGAAGACAATCACCGCACAGAGATTCTTTGCACTACTGCATGATGGTCCTCTGCTTAGCTCTGCTTAGCATTCAAAGTCACATTTGTCAAGACAAATGCTACATGGTCTTGCGCATCTCAATCTCACACATTTGAGTAGTGGCAACTTCTGCAAGTGGTGTTGTGTGCCAAAGATGGGAATCCACAACATGCCAGTTCTCAACTAATTTACTAATCTGTAATGACAAATTGGTTGATAAGGACTGCCATGCAGAAAAGTCTAAGCTTCAGCAATAATACTTCAACAGCAGTAAGTACATACTGTGAAACAGCCCTATGTCAGAATTAGTACAGTCAGATTTTCTTCAAGCTGATATTGATTGAGTGCAAATATGGGAAAATTATTCAAACTACGAAGATTTTATTAACAAAAGCATACAGATACACATCACAAAAATACTGGATACATAGGTTCTATTGCAAAATCCAAAATGATCTCAATTTGGTCTCAGAAACTTCAAACATCACCTGGGAAGAAGCCTTACACCTTATGCAATTCAAATATCACTGTCCCACCTAATGTCTACAGTCACAGAATCCTAGGGGTTGGAAGAGACCTCTAAAGATTGTGTCCAACCCCCCTGCAAAAGCAGGATTCCTACAGCAGACTGCACAGGTATGCCTCCAGAGGAGACTCCACAGCCTCTCTGGTTAGCCTGCTCCAGTGCTCCACCACCCTCCATCTTTCACATGTTGGCACAGAACTTCCTATGCTCCAGTTAACAGCCATTTCCCCTGTCCATTCCAGGTAAGGCCTCACCATGGCATAGCAGAGGGGGAGGATCACCTCTCTCTTGATGTGCTGGCCATGCTTCTTTTAATGCACCCCAGGATTCCATTGGTACTCTTGGCCACAAGGGCATACTGCTGCCTCATGGCCAACCTTTGGTCCACTAGGAGCCCCAGGTCCTCTGCAGAGCTCCTCTCTAGGTCATGCAACAACCTGTACTGATAATTGCAGTTATTTCTTCTCAGGTGCAGGACTCTACATCTGCTTTTATTAAACCCCATCTGGTTTCTTACCGCCCAGCTCTCCAGCCTATCCAGGTCTTGCTGAATGGCAGCACAGCCATCAGGTGTGTCAGCCGCTCCTCCCAGCTCTGTATCATCAGCATACTTGCTGAGAGTGGACACTATCTCCTCATCAAGGTCATTGATGAAGATATTGAACAAGATGAGATCCATCACTGACCCCCTGGGGAACACTGCTAGTCACAGGTCTGCAGTTGGACTCTGCACCACTGATCACCACCCTTTGAGCTCAGCGAGTTCTCAACCCACATCACTGCTCACATATCTATCCCACACTTTCTCAGCGTCACTATCAGGATGATGTGGGCGACAGTATCAAAAGCCTTGCTGACATCAACATAGACAATATCCACAGGTCTCCCCACATCTACCCAGCCAGAGATGCCATCACAGAAGGCTACGAGGTTGGTTGAGCATGATTTCCCCTTGGTGAATCCATGCTGATCCCCATCCATCCTGCTCCTGATGACCTTCTCTTCCAATTGTTTGGAGGTGCAACCAGAACAAGCTGTTCCATCACTTTCCCAGGAACAGAGGTGAGACTGACTGGCCTGTAGTTTCCCAGATCCTCCTCCTTGCCCTTTTTGTAGTGACACTGGCTATCCTCCAGTCTTCAGGTACCTCTTCTTTCCTCCAAGACCTGTCAAAGATGACAGAGAGCAGTTCAGCAATCACCTGTCAGTTCCCTCAGCACACAAACATACCCAACACTCACAACAGCTCTCCCCTCCCTCAGGACCCGGGGGAACTCAAGACACCAGAGATCCCCACAGTCAGTCTGGACTGCCCCTTCCCCCCTCAGGATGCCCACATGAGCCCACATAGGCTGTCCCCCCTTAGTCTGGGTTGCAGCCTCAGGCCAGCTGCTATGTCAGGTGCCCACCATGGTAATTGTAAGAGGCAGCAGCACATTTTAGAGTTTTCAAAGGAGTAGAGAGGAGGGGAGAGAGAAAAGGGGAGGAAAGGACAGGACCCCTCCCTGATCGCCACCCTCCTCCCCCGCGAGAACTGCCTGTGCTAACTGCCTGTCAGACAAGCGCGCCCTGTTTGCACAGCCTGATAGCGGCGCTCCTGTGTTGCTGCGCTCCCTAAAAGGAGTTGCTTTTATACAGGCAGAGGGTTGGCTGCCATCACTCCCAGCTCCGCTCCGGCTCAGGCACGGCTCTTGCCTGACCGGGAGGGGATCTGGGGCTGCCGCGCTGACCGAGCACCGCAGCTTAGGGGGTTGGTTCTGTTCACCTCTCTGCCAAGATCCCTTGTTGCAGTCGATCCACGTGAGATCCTCACTAAAACAGCCATTACCTTGCCATTACTTTTGGGGTAACCCTCGTGTTTTCACAGTTCATGTGTAGATTAGCAGGAATGTAATTTTGCAACTGAAAAAAAAAATTGAAAGAGCTATCTTCAATTTGCAGACATATCTGTGAATAAGATTTAAGAACAAGTCACCAATTCATTTACTGCATTTCCAGTAATGTCATAGGAGGTATCCAGAATTTCAAGTCCCATCTTATCCTTTTACAGATTATTTCATCTTATATACCTTAATGAATCAGTTTTACAGTGGCTTATGAAAGAAAAAAATCACCAGAAAAAAAAAAGAGAAATCTGGGTATACACATTAGCCACTCATTTTCTATACGGTGTCTGTGTGTATACAACAAACGAGTAATTAGGGCATCTACATTCCATACACAGAGCCTTGTAGAGATTCACTAAGTGTCTATACAGGGGCAGCAGCTGATGCTTACAGTATATTAGCTGTAAGCACTGCAGTCACACTGAGCACCTCTTGGCAGATATTTTAGTATTGGCTCCAGAGCAGACAACTGGAAACAACTCAGAACTCTCAATACTCAGTGATGACTGAAGCATGGACGTTTTTCTTAGCGATGCTTTATCCTCCACTACTGAACTATTCAGAAAGTATTGAAACATCTCTAAACAGAAAAAAAAAAATCCCATCAACATCTATGTGCCAGTAATATTGGAGATTCCAAGAACTGAAGAGTACAGCAAAACATTTATAAACCATACAGTAAAAAATATCAAAGACATTCAGAATTAAAGTAGGTCTCAATATGCTGCTGCTAGCTTCACTATATGAAAATCACATACTACTGCTTAATCTAAATTATTTTGCTCCGAAAGAGGAAGGTGATTAGAAGATTGGTTTAGGTCTCTCAGGTCAGGCTCGTTTTAAAATATTGTTTTCTTTGAATATTTTTTTTTCCCTCTGAAAATGACCACAATAAAAATATCTGTCCTGTTTTTAAGTGTTACAGAGAACCAAAAACACCTCCCAGAAGCAGGACTGAGTCCCAGATATCTGTATATCCTACATTATGTACTTATCCAGTAAACAAGCAACACCCAGTGAGCAAGTTTCTTTCTCCTTGACTGTTCTACCATGAGGGTGACCAATTCTGGTTGTTACATAAACAAGGGATTAATTTATACTTCTTTTCTATGAAATGTCACATTTTCTGTGTATGTCACACAAAGACATTAGAAGACTCAAAATGAACTAAGGAACATCTTCATATCTTCAAGCAATTTGTAATGAACATACCACAGGATTTTATGCTCAACTAAATCTACAGATGTTGAAAAAGAATTACAACATATATGAAGGCTGCTAAACACAGAGAGCTCTTTAAGGCTGAGCCAGGCACTGAACTGCAGCTTTTTCAAGGACAGAAGGATGTCTTGTGAAATGTACACTACAAGTTTGTCTTGTTTGATGTTTCCTAAATAAGCATTTGCTTTGGCTGCTGTTAGACACAGGATACTGGGCTAGCTGAACTTTGGAGCTTCATACAGACAATCTTGTACTCTTACATATTAACCTTACATACTTGTAGTACTTGATTTCAGCATTTCAAGTATTCCACAGAGGGGAAAAGACATCCTCACCTGCAAATTATGAAAAGTTCAACCATATTCCATACAGACAGGAAACATCACTGTAATGCTTAATTAAAATTGACTTCACTGTGCATCAGCACTCAAATCTGCCTCCAGTCAACACTGCACAAGCTGAGGTAATAACACTAACATTAATTATAATCAGAGCTGAAAGTGTGACAAGACAGAGTTTGGAGGTAAAAAAATAAAATTTATCACCTGCAGTCTGTGCTCCTAGGAATAACAATGTCCCCTCACATTCTATTAATATTTCAACAGATTTATTTCATCTCTCTGTAACAGTTTCCTAGAATAACTTTATCTCTTCTGAGAACTCCGGATTGCAACATAGACATCAGGCAAAATGAACTGACCCACGCTCATTCAGGAAAACTTATCTATATATGGATGCACGTAGACAGCAGTGCAACACTACTAATATGCAAAGTTAAAACAGACAAAACTAAAGGCATGAGAAGATCAATCTGCAAACAGGTAGAGTTTCTAATTTATCTTTAAATGACTCTCAGCTTGTACACCACCAATTAAGACTTCATTGGGTTTCAGTTTACAGATGAGGACAGTTGAAAGTGTGAGGCTTAACAGCTGTATCATCCTGGGCAGTTAAGTCTCACAGATCACAAGGTTGAGCTTGGCTTCCTTCAGACTTGACCCAGTCACAGCTTCCAAATACTGTGTAGACATCACAGGAGCTGCCGTGGTAGTCACGGCCCTAATACACTGCTGCTGAATGGAGAATATCACTGGGGCTACAGTGTATCTTTAGCAAGTTTCTAAGTCACAAAACACAACAACAGAGGCTGCCTGGTCATCACCCCAAAGACAGAACCCTTCCACAGCAAATGAAAGTCATTTTATTTAACATACAACTGCAAACTATTTTTTTTTGCAAAACTTTCACACATCCCTTCCCCTCAGCAGCTCCTCCACTGAAAGCCAAAACAAAAACTGCACTGAACCATTCACTCTCAGGATGGCTTCAGCTTTCAACCCTCTGCTTTTTCAAGCAGAACACCAAGATAGAAATCCCCCATTAGCAATCTGAAAGCAGTGCACGAGCAAAGAATACTTACGTTTGCCACTGTATTTGTAGTATTCGTGCTCTGTTCCAGCAACTGGTGATTACAAAAGGAGAAAGCTTTTTAGTCTGCCTTTCAAGCCTTGTAGCAGTGAAAGGAAGCCACTGGTTTTCTATATGCTGTACTCTGCTCAATTCCTATGTGCACACAACACAGCTGCCAGATTTAATAACCATGTCAGCCTGCTTTCCCCATAGAGCAGCAGAGAGATGACAGAATGAAGATATTTCCAGTGTGTTAACCTGTAGGTATGGCCACATTAAGCCCTGAATGAACATCATTTTACTGCTCTTGAAGAAAAAATAAAATCAGTCAACTCCATTTCAAAAAAAAAAAAAAAAAAAGGCAAAAGGACTTCAGAAATGCAAATCCATACTTGCCTTCAGTGACATTAAAGTAATGACTCTTTCCATCATCAGCTAACTAATCTCAGGACTTAATTCCTTCTCAAAGCGTCCTGACCTTTACTTACACATTTTGCCAAGCAACATGTGCTTGTATCCAAAAAGTATCCAATTAGCTGACAAATCATCCCAGAATACCCCTCTCCGGAAGGAATTATTTCCATACCTGTTTTTGCTGACTTCTTTCAGAAAAGCAGAGTTAATAAAAGGGGGAAATTCTCACCCTTTCAATCCTCCCATGCACAGCGACTCCTAGAGCTCAAAACTTCCTTAACAGATGTGGTCACTTCACTGCCGATGCAGGGCATTTCTGTACCTCCATCTGCACAACCAGCTCTGTAGAAGTGAGAGGCAGACAGAATTAACGTGCCAAGAGAAGGTGCCAGTCACACAGCCCACATCTACAAACTTAACATAAACCCAGAAATGTGTGACTGAATTTGCATCATTGCAGGGATGCTGCAGGATGATATGACAACCATGCACACCTGCCTCTCATTTCTATTCCCTTTACTGCCTCTGGAGGCACCTGTCTCAGCTGGGAGTGGTTTCTGCAGAAACGACAGGCAGTTGGTTTTCACCTCAAAGAAAGTGTTACTGTGTGGGAACTGAGAAGGAAGGAAGGCTACAGCTGACATTATGACACAGTGCAGCAATCAATACTGCATATTGAAGTGCAGAGGATTTTTCAGCCTATTTATTCTTCCAGCAACAGGGATCTCACTACATCTACTCTGTTTAAAACTGAACTATCAGCCTCAGTGCTGCTTATTACATATTATGAAGTTGTGCCACATTAAAACTTGAGGAAGTGCCTGAAAAGAGCTGTACAAGTCAGTGAGGCATGGCATGCGGTGGAGCAAAACCTGAAACAGCAAAGTGCTGCCTATACGGCTTTCCGCTCAGCTCAAGGAGACAAACCTACCCACAGCCATGGTATGGAGAACAGATCTACCAGATCCTATCTTTTATGAAAATGGATAGTGATAGGACAAGGAGAAATGGTATTAAACTAAGACAAGGGAGGCCTAGGTTAGATATCAGGAGGAAGTTCTTCCACACAGAGGGTGGTGAAGCACTGGAACAGCCCAAGGAGGCTGTGGATGCCCCATCCCTGCAGGCATTTGAGGCCAGGCTGGATGTGGCTCTAGGCAGACTGGTGACTCTGCACATAGCAGGGGGTAGAAACTAGATGATCTTCATGATCCTTTTCAATGCAGACCACTCTATGATTCTATCTGAGAGATGGAAAATGGGGCCCCTGGCACTGGGGCTGCGCAAGCTGAGAAAGGCTTGGCATTCTAAGCCAGCAGCTGAAGACATGAAGTGGTGGTCATATAACAGATAGTGAACACTGTGAAACAGGTAGGGGCTGTGTCTCCTGCCAGCCACACCTGCAGATAGCGTCTTTACTGGCAAGTGAAATCACAAGTCAAATGGTTAAGAAATCAGAAATACCTGTTTACTCAAAAAATCAGTGACTTCTGTTTGAAAAAAAAAAAAAATCACAGGGCAAGTGCTATGGTTTAACACGGCTGGTAGCTAAGCACCACATAGTTGCTGGCTCACTCCCCTCGCCTCCCAGGAGGTTGGGTGAGAGAAACAGGAAAAAAAAATAGAACTCATGGGTTGAGATATACCTATTTACTTAGAGAATAGTAAAAGGATAACAAGTATTTTTATATATGAATGTATATAACAAATTCATAAAAGTGATACAAAGTAATTGCTCACCACCCCTTAACCTATACCCAGCAAGCCCCTCAAGCAGCAGAAGAGAGCTCAATTAACTCCTCCCCTTCAGAACTCCTTCCACATGTTATACAATATGGAATATCCCTTTGTCCAGTTTCAGTCAGTTCTCCTAACTCTGTTCCCTCCCAGCTCCTTGGGCCCTTTGATAAGAATGGCCTTGGCTCTGTGCAATGCTGCTTTGCAGCAAATGTAAATATCAGTGTGTTATCAACACTGTTTTTCTTCTAGAGCCAAAACATACCAGTGTACCAGATACTCTGAAAAAAGAAAAAAAAACAAAACAATTCCATCCCAGTTGAAACAAGACAGAAAAATGAGTACAGCTCTATCCTTGAGGTACTCTTCCCAGCTCACCACTGAAGCAGTATGAACTTGGATCCATCTTCACTTACCTATGCAAATACTTAATTTGTGATCACTTGCTGCTTTATCAAGCATATATTAACATGAAGGGGCATTAGGCATCTCACTACTACTGGCATACTTCCATTAAATTAGCCTAAGCAGGAACATTACACCACTTGCATTTCTTATCCTAAAAATTCTTTAGTTACCTGGGAATTTCAAGCTACACAGATTTCTGATTTTTGTAGCAATCAGTACCTGTTGCTCTTTTACTTGTAGCAATCCCACAACAGACAGATCTTCTGACAGGCCAGGCAAAACAGACAGCTGCTTAATGTTGTCTGTGTCCACAGCAGCTATTCCAAAGGCCCTTCCATACCCCATAGGATCCTTGAAATGCCCCCTTCTGAGATAATCAATACCTAGAATATACAAAGCCCCTGGGCCTCACACAATAGGATGCTTTTGCCAGTCCTTACCAGTGAGGCTTATCTCAGCCTCCAACACAGTCAATTCTTGAGAGCCCCTGGTCACTCCAGAAGTATGGATTGATTCTGTCCCTTCACGACTCGAGGGCATCAGAGTGCACTGTGCACCAGTATCCACCAGTGCCTTATATTTCAGTGGTTCTGATGTGCCAGGCCATCAAATCCACACAGTCCAATATACTCTACTATCCCTTATATATGAACACAATTCCACAACAAGTAATTATGACATTGATTATTGGCCAGTAGGTTGCCAGTAACACCATTGCTTTTAATCCTTTACACAACGCCCCCCATGATAAAGAGTGGGTTCATCACTGGTGCCTGCTAAAAAGGGGTTAATGAATTGAAGCTAACAAGAGGAGGGGAAGAAAAAAAAAAAAGAAAAAGGCACTACCCAGACTAAGTAGTGCTCAGTTTACAAATATCCCAGAATACTGGCAGTACGCCTAGTCTTTCAAGGTCAGTTTTTCCAGCACAGAATTCTGAACTACTGATAATGCTCCTTAACAAAGCTCTCTAAGAGCAGAGAGAGAGATTTCATTCTAAAACTAAAAAGCAGGTATGCCTGCATTCTCCACCAAAATCTGTCATGGAGTTGACTAGATCAATCTATGCTTGTGACAGGGGGGCAGTAAGCCTCTGCCTTTCCCCCCCAACCCAGTCCCACAAAATGGGAAGGAAGGAAGGGCGGAGAAGAACAGCAGCAACAATCTATGGAGGAAAACTTATTTTACTATGATACCGGAATACAAGATAACACAATATAATACAATTTAATTTAAATTGAGATTAATAAATCAGACAAGATGGGAGAGAGAGTTCCCAGGACCAAGTAAAACCTGAAAAGCTTGGAACGGCTAGGAAAGCACCTCCAGCACCCACTGCAAGGCAGCAAGAGAGCGCCCCTCCACCCAGCAGGGCCAGATCCCGTGACTGCTGTAATGTACAGGGATAGGCCTGGAATTGGGGCATTAACACTTTAACGCCCCGTACACAACATGATGTTTTGATGTGAATATTGAAACCTGAAAAAAAAACAAAAAAACATGATACTGATCTCACAGGTGACTTGGCTGAGATACTGCTGAGAAGTCAGTTAGACTAACAAAAGGCAGGTTTGCTTTTACAGCAGGCATCAAGCACACAGATGCAGCTGTAGCTTGTGAATTGTTGTTTCCTTCCAGCAAAGAGTCATCTCAACCCAGGACTACAAGCTTCACTTGACAGCTCAGGTTGTACAGTGATGGTCTCTCAGAGAATAAGCTCAGAATACATGGAATTCAGCTACTGTGACCTGGATGTTGTTTGGCACATGTCACTGAACATGATAGTTACCTTACAGTTGAGAAAGGCAGACTTACAGTGGCTATCTAAAACAGTATACCAGCAGTATTTATAATACATTTCCCATATTTTTCCCATGACATTATATCAGCCCTATGAAAAATAACAGTATTACAAATAAAACATTACAAATGGCCTTCCTCAAAGATGGAGAGAAGCATCTGTAGAAATGCTTGTACAAAACTGCATTCCTTATTCCAGATACATCTTTATTTCACATGACATCTCAATTCATTTCATGCTAGGCTTTTACATAAAAAAAGCAACATATAATTCCAGGATATTGACCATTTATCATATATGCTGCTTTTGATACATGTCTCTTTCCTCCCATAGTCCTCTTACCAAGAAAAGGCCCTTTTTCTGTCTACTTGAATTGATGTGATTTGGGCAGGGAAAAAATCTTAGCAGAAAATAAAGGGAGAGACAGATTCACAGAGAAACAGGCAGGGGGTCAGGATGTCAGTTTCAAACTGCATGAGCTGCAGATGCCCTTGTCTAGACTTCTATGCTCCAGTAATTCATAGGGATGGCACTCACAAAAGCCATCACATTATCAGAGAACTGACTAACTTCGCTAATGGGGAATACCAAGAAAGAAATCTTGCCATGCATCCATGAACTTGGTATCCTTATCTGGGTTACAAGAAAATACTCTCCCCAGATCAAAATCAAACATACCCATTATCTGGAATTCACTGCCTTCACCTATCCTTTCTCACAAAGGATGACTGGGAAAGAGACAGAAGGCAACTTCTGTACTCAAAGATTCAATAATCAACTCCACTAGCGATGGTTCCTGAACACCAGCCTACCCTAGAGTAGGTAGGTCCTGATCTCAGTCCCAGCATGGATCTTGCCTGAGGTCAGCCAAGGAAATGGTCATTGTGGGAATTGAAACCAATCTGACTGCACCTAGCCTAGCACACACAGGACACAGATCAAAGGTGGATTTCTGTTTGAGCATCCCATAGATTTCAATTTCAGTCAACACTCCCAGCTGAAGGTCAGTACTTTCCTTGTTTTAGAAGCAGAAATATTTGCCAAGGCTCAGGCAGCCAGGCCAGAAAACAGTGACAAGCAGCGTAAGCTGATCTGGCAGGCTTCATTAAAGGCAGATTAAACAACAACAATCCCAAGGCTTTTGTGATATGATTGCATGGCACAGCCAATGAACTAGTCACTCCCCAGGGCGAGATGCAGCTAGTAGCTTCATGGAAAGTAATGGTGATAGGAGAATGGTTAGACTAGACAGTCCTGCAAGTCCTTTCCGACCTCGTGATTCTATGTTTCTATGCAAGTATGTTCAACTGACCACGGAGTGGAACAGACTGCTGTGTGAAATCACACATTGCAACAACGTAACATGCAAAGTTACACTAAACAAGGCTCTTCACCTAAGAAAACCCACAAAAGCACGATTACCTAAATACAAGTCCATCTACTCCTAAAAAAGCAGGATGATGTAGAAAAAAAATAAAGGCACCTGCTCAAGTTTTAAGAAAGAACTTGATGTCTGAGCTCTGAATTCTGCTTTCCCCCCCCCAGTGCAAAGTCCATCATTCCCATGATTTGAGATTTTTTTCCACCCAATAAATATTTGAAATCAATCTTCCCCCATGTACTGGATCAAGTAGTATTTTATCAGAATGTCAGTAATTAATTTTCCCCGATTTCTCTGCTCTTAGTGCAAGGTTGTCTTGCCTTGGACCCAAAACAGCCTCCTAATTCTACTGCCTACTTGCAATCTGATGGTTTTCCTTGCTGCACAGGGTGATGGATCCGGAGTT